GTGCAAAAATCTATTTTTATCCCTAATTATAAAATTTTAAACTCCAAAAATGGTTCAAATCAAATAGATCTATAAATACATGAAAATCTTGAAAATGGATGGTCTTTATAATGTGTTGCAAAATGTACTATTTTTAGGACTTTAAATCTTTTTCTTCTCCAATATCTACACATATGTTGAGATGATCAATTAGATGTTTTTCTAGTGTCAAAATAACCTTTTTTGAATGATTTTAAATGTGCACCTTAATTCTATATTTTAAGGTGCCAATTTTATATATTTTTTAGGAAAAAATATGTAAATATCCGTTATATTTTTTGTTATTACAAAAATACCTGAAACTTTCTATTATTACACATATATTTCTTTTTTAAGCATCATAAAACTTTTTTTTTCAAAAGACAAAATTTTCCATTTTTGGTTTTTGAAAAACCTTTTCTAGTTTATTTTTTTATTTGTCAAAAAAGGACCGAATTTCAACAATTGAATGTTTTAAATATCAATACTACATATGCCCAATATTTACACTTGGGGTTGAATTGGCTTTTTGGTTATCATGCATGCCTCTACACTTTAATTTTTTTTCAATAAATGATGGATGTTTTTTATTTTATTAAAAAAAAAAAAACCCATCATGGAACGGGCATGGCTTTTCGGTTATCATGCATGCCACTGCACATGCATGTCAAGAGTTCAAGTCCCACCATACGCAATCTAATTTTTTCAATAAAAATAATGTTTTTTATTTTATTAAAATGTTTAAAAAAGCTTCATCATGAAAATGTTTTTTAATGTTTAAAAAAACTTCATCATGGAATGGGCAGAATTTGATACAAAAACTTCTAAAAAAAAACCCATATATTTTTACCAATATACTATTTAAACAATAATGATAGAAGTAAGTATCGTATTATATATACACTTTATTTTTTATTTATTTTTTTAACATGCCAAGTTATAATCAGTAAAATTCGGTTTTTCACTTTCAATAAAAAATAATGTTTTTTATTTTATTAAAATGTTTAAAAAAGCTTCATTATGGAAATGTTTTTTAATGTTTAAAAAAGCTTCATCATAGAAAGGCAGGATTTGATACCAAAACTTTAAAAAAAAACCATATGCTTTTACCAATAAACTATTTGAATAATAATGATAGAAGTAAGTACCGTATTATATATGCACTTTATTTTTTTATTTTTTATTTTTAACATGCCCAATTACAAATACTAAATTTAGTTTTTCAAAAACCGAAAAATGAGTAGTTTCATCTTTTTGTAAACAAAAAATCTTATGAAGTTTAACGACGGAAAGTTTCAAGTATTTTATAGTATCAGAAAATATAATTGCTATTTCTGTAAATTTTCCTATATTTTATTTATATAGTGAAAATAACAGGTTAGGTCCTAGATGAACCCGAGCCCGACCGGACTGTTGGATCCATAAATCTAAACCCGGACGGACCTGCCAAATCTTGGTCCCAAATCCAAGCACCAATTGGGTTGACACGACCCGCTTAACAGCCCAGGTGTACTTCTCCTCTCCTCGGTATCTTCCGTGCATCCACGTGAAAATTATAGTTCCACGTTAAGTGACAAAAACGCCTTCTGCATTTTTTGGAGCGCTTCTAACATGAATCCACGAGAAGATACTGTACATGTACTCCCTCAGGAAAAATATTTGTTTTTTTTTTAAAAAAATTTGGGTCCCAAGTCCCAACTAAAAATGACTAGATTATTATTTTAAAAATTATAATAATTTTTTAGTTATTTAACACTTAAATCTTGCACTCAGATAATAAGAAGCTATTTGTTCAATATTTTTTACAACGTACAAGGTATAGTATTTGATTTATTTATTTTTATACAAACGTTGGTCTCAAGCCCCAAAATTCAAAAAGTTTGTTCGAATTTGGACCTAATTTAGCGCCATATTTTTTTATATTCCCACCCAAAACTGGTGGATCGCTTGGTCACCTTATAACTGCCTCCCAATATGAAACACCCAGGTACAAAGTCTAGCTTCGCTTCCAATTTTTTCTTTTTGCCTTTTTTTATTATTATTATTATTTTATTTTTTTTTTCTTGAGCATAAAAGAGTGCCTCACTTCAAACTTTCAGTCGAAAAAGTACTTTCGACAATAAAAATATCCACAATGGCTCTAAAATCAATTTCTAACACCAACAATAAAATTTTAAATTAAAAAGATGGTACCGATCTCACGGTTTTGTAAACATTTATTTTTAGGGCGTAATAGATTATCTAAATAATTTGTTACAATTTATACTATTTTTAAAGCTTAAAATCCTAATTTTTTCAACAACCATCATATTCAAGCAAGACAAAATGATCTATGTAAAGGTTTTTCCATGCTTGAATTGCAATTTTGACGAATTATGAGGTAAGGCTTTACTTATTTTAATAGATTTGCAGCCCTTTCATACTATTTTCCTTTTTAGTTCAAAATGAAAATTCTCTTGCGATTGTAAAATCTCTCTCTCTCTCTTAACTTCCCAAAGGCTCCATAGACGTATCCCACCTCTAAATTATGTGTCAAACCTCATTACAATATATTTTCTCTCCCTCTCTCTACACAGAGGTAGTTCTAGGTAGCTTAGGAAAAAAATAGTATGCTTCTATTTATGAACAAATATAACTGCACCCATAGTTAGCAATGCTCAATCCACAACACATTTTTTTTTTCCCCAAAATAATCGGTTTGTTAAAAAAAATTTCTGAAAATATGTGATTTTTAAAACATCTAAAAGGAAAATTTGTCAACGTAGAGAGAGAGAGAGAGAGAATTTAACATTTTATCCATATTTTTATTCAATTGTAACATACCGGACATATGGTCTTGAGTTGGAACAGTTGTACATAGGTAAAATGTTGAATAATTCATTCCTTATGGGTATTTTGATACAAAAATTTCATATGAAAAGATCTATCACTTGGAAGAATTTGAGAAATAATTGCATCGTATGATAATCATCATTATTTGACCCATATTCCAACCATTTGAAATTGACTGCACAAATCTTGTTCCGCAATTCCATTTCCATCAATGCCTATACCTAAATAGCTGCATCATATCATAGTAAAAAAAAATTAGTTTTTTTTATATTATATTGAATATTGAAATTGCATTAAAGTTTTACTTTGCTCGTATATTTGATTTCACAAAGCTTTATGAGAGAACTAAAAATGACTGTTCTTTGCTCCCATCAATGTTCTACCATTTGATTACTTACACTATGAACTACAAAATTTATTTGTTTTACTTGTATTTCATTATTTTCACCGATCGTTTTTAGACAAATTCACCCAAAAACATATGCAAATCACCCAATATTTGAGTTAAAGTTATAAAGACAAATCCAAAATAAACACAATTTTTGTTTCCTTAAAGTTATTTCTGACGCCATTTAATATTTTTTAGCCCATTTTTAAACATCGTATTTTTGGGCCAAAACCGAATTAATACCGATTTCTTGCCCACGTATTTATTAAGGTATGGTGCACCATAAAAAGAGGTCTCCCTATTTTAGTCCTTAGGAGAGTAGAGAAAATTACCTATACTCCCCAAGATTTAATTTCTTAGACAACCTTCCCTAACTGTTTTTTAGATCACTTACTAAACCCCAATACTGACTATGTTTTAGATCACCCGCTAAACCTCAATACTATTTTGTATAACATTTACCTCTGATAAAAAAAGTTGAGTTCAACTTAGTTGCGGTTCAATGATGTTTATTCTGGATGCACTATCCAGTCCAGTAATTTGGTAATGTTACTGGTCTTCGTTACGGTCTGACACTTTCTTAGAGCGATCTAGCAATTTTCAATGCCAGTTTGGCATTTGTTTTAACTAACGGATCGGTGTCGTACGATTTGGGTTTCGGTCTGGCATAAATATGTGTCGGATTGTCTTTGGTGATTCAACACCTAATGGAAATGTGATGTCAAGATGTACAAAAAAGGGTATTTTCATTTTTATATATATGACTTTTTGACTTGAAGGGATATTTGCTATAAAAATTAGTTTTGAGGTAAAAGTTACACTTCAAAAAGTAGTTGAGGGGGGGGGGGGAGGATATATAGAAAGTTGAGTCGTAGGGGTTTTATAGTAAAGTTTAAAAAATTCAACCAACATGCATTTTCATAGTGCGGGGAAGCCTTGTTATGGTATGAAATCTATTGTTATCTCTAGTTATAAAACGTAAAAGTCTAAAAGTGATGCGGTCGATCGGATCTAAAAACAATTAAAAATTCTGAAAATGGATTATCCCGATTGCTGCATGACAAAATCTTTTTTTTTTCTATATGCATACATGTCGAGATTGAGATGGTCAATTCGAGAATTTTTAACATCAAAAAATATTTTCTAATAAAAGCTTTTTTCCATACATGATAGGAAGATTTATCCCCCTCTCTTAAAAAAAAAAAAAAAAACAAAAGAAGAGGTCTAAATGAGGCACAGGGTTGTTTTTGATGCGAGGGTAGCAATATGGGGGTGTATGTAACAGTGAGTGTGAGAAGACGCGTGCGGAGGGTGGTATATTATATAGGGCATACGACGCTCCCTATGAAACCAATACCGATCAACTCTCTCTCTCTCTCTCTCATCCCCAACCGAAAAGCCTTCTCCCCTCTCT